ACACATATATATACACACACACACACACACACACACGCAGGCACGCACGCACGCACGCACACACACGCACACACACACACACAAACACACACACACACACACACACAGACGTTGCATTTACATAACTTATCTTTTCCTCTCCTTGTTTAATCGTATAGCATTTTGAAGAATTTCATAGCCCTTCTTCAGTCTACTTTTGTTAGACTTTTTTTCTCCAAAAGCGCACATAATTATTATGACATGAATCTTATCCCACTGACCTTCTTGGTCTAACAGCCCGAGGCTTCGCCATCATACCTAGAAAACCTCAGTCTGAGTCCCGTGCGAAGAAAATTTTTATCGGTTCTCTCGTTCTTTCTGCTGGGACGATGCATCCATCTCAACCCACATTTGCCCTGTCAATCAGGGTCGTAACCCACCTCCTCAATCACCTAGATTGTGTCGATGAAGGCGTAAAAACACTTATATAATTAAACATTGAACTTGTTGTAGGCTTATTTATATCTATAAAAGTTTTTTTGATATTAAAGATGGTTCCAGTAGGGAACGGGATAGAGGGTGCCCTTGTCCCTCGTGACTCATTGAAGCAGAGGAAGATCGGAATAACGCTAACATGACTTAAACGCAATCCCACATCATCACTCATCACCGCCAATGTTAATTTCTAAAATAACCATTGCTCTCAGATCATTGACTTACATCTAAAATCTAAACGGGCAAGGGATAAAAAAAAATTATAACAGTTTGCATAATGTATCCAAGGCTGTATAGGGAAAAAGTAGGGCTGAGCAAGCTGGTAAAGAGACGCCATCTTTCCTAATCTGAAGCGACGATTCCATTATACCTTCCTTGTAACCGGAAGCTGTTGACCGGATATGCGTTTTTATGACACGGGCTGCCCCTGGTCTTCCATTGACTGAAACCGGATAGATGCCGCCAAAGTTGCTTTCGTTCCTCATCATTCATGCCTTTTAGTGATGACCAGCTAATAGATCCCCCGGCGCTTTTCGAGGTGGTTTTTCGAAAAGCCCAAAGTATCGAACTATGAGTGGATCACTAACGCCCCCTGAGGATTCAACTTACATTTTCTCATTCGATCTAAACAGGCTAACGACATGGTTTCTTTTTCCGGGGGGGGGGGGGGTGTTGGTTTGTTTGTTTGTTTTTTGCTTGTTTGGTTTTATGTTTTTTTGTGGGTTTTTTGGGGGTGTGTGCTTGGGTTTTGGTTGTTGTTGGGTTTTTTGTTTGTTTGCTTGTTTTTGTTCTTTTATGTTTATGTGTGTGTGTGTGTGTGTGTGTGTGTGTGTGTGTGTGTGTGTGTAATTGTTTGTGTATTTTCGTTGGTTGTTGGGGGGGGGGTTGCTTTTGGGGGGCGAGGTGATTTCATTTGTTTGTTGTTGTTTTTTTAATATTGGTATCTAGGTGTTTTTTCCCCTCATCGACTCAAATTAAATCATTTAAGAGGCCGGTTGCGACCCTGTCTGTCAGGGCCAACCCTGTAGATGGGGAGGAGGTGTAGAGTTTAGGTCTTAGAAGGAAACAGACTATTGTTTCTTTGTTTGTTTCTTTGTTTTTTGTTTGTTTGTTTGTTTGTTTTTGGTTTGTTTGTGTGTCTGTTTGTTTGTTCGTTCGTTCGTGTGTTTGTCTGTTTGAAAATATTACTTTGTTCAGATTTGTCTGAGAGATAATACAACTCCGATCATAAGCATTCTCACTCATCCAACTATGAATCTCTTGTCAGCCTATGTGTGTACGACTGGAGTGTGGCACTGTGTTGTGTTTGTCTATCTTGCGATTTCCCTGTATAGAACCGCCGGTTAGGTTATGTGCAAGTGTTCTTCTCTTCACCTGAAGAAAAAAAAAGGTAAAGTAAGATCCGTAAATCTACCACATTCTTAAAATGCTGTTCGAATTTGTTTTTCTTTTTTAATGGCGGTGGGTAAAAGTGATTTCAGATTTTAGCAACCCCCTCCCTCACCCCTCCTTTTCCCATTAGGATTCGGATCTTACTTGGCCTACTACGCACATCCACTATTTCTGTTTTCCTCTGTTTACCTTTTGGTTGGAAAGTCACAGAGACCCAACTGTGGCACCAAGGAGAATGGAAACGTGTTTGAGTACTTGATCAAGTAGATTCCGAATTTAACCCCCCACCCCCACCAACCCCCATCCCCCACCCATCCCCACCCCCAGAAAAGAATTTGAAAATAAATCGACTGCCTCTATTTCATATTTGACAGATGGAGCTGACGTCACCTTTATTACTCGTGATTTCATCCTTTCTTGCCGTTTACGTCATCAACTTCACTGATGCAGGACCCCTGGATCCCTGTGTGTTTCAGGTGAGATTTTTCAAAACCCCCAAAAATAATTCCTTCTTCACTAAATTTTAATTTATTAAATTCCGACAAACCTCATATGAGCGCTCGTCAAGTCAAAGATATAATATAACATTGGCCAAAGACCTTTAATCAATACATTATATAAAAATCTCTGACGAACAATGTGACGTAATGCTAAATAAGATCTGTATTGTTTCGTTTGTTTCTTTTTTGTTTCCCTTTCATGATTTTCTATTATTAGATCTAGATCTACTTCTCATTCGCTCGGTGATCAAACTTACGTAAACATCAAAGTTGTTTTGGCATAACGGGCTCTGTCATAGTGGGGAAAAGCTTTTTGAATGTTCCCTTAATGGATTTACTAATGTTCTAGACTGACAAACTACGAGTCTCTATGGAATATATTTCTAATGGGATCAAGCTTTCAGAGGTGAAACAATAGAGACACTGCCGCACTTAACAGTCGCTTTTTTGTTTGTTTGTATCACATATAACGACGAGTTGTAGACTGCCATCTAGTCAGTTTCATGACGAAGTTTCTAATATCAAACTAATAAATGGTTGTGACAGAAGATGATCATTTGAAGCAATTGAAGTAAAGGCCTCAACAAAAGAATAATGATAATTTTGCCTACACAAGAGGGATGAGAAGATTAGGGTCTTCCAGATACTTCCTTTATTATTTAATTCCAGAACTGGAGTCTTCAGAGACTGACTCTATTCATACTTCTTGCCCCTTCTCAGCAGAATCTATCTTAGGGTATTTATACTATTGTTTGGTCAAAAGTTCGAAGTGCAACTTGTCCTAAAATATCTCTTTAAAGGATGAATTACTGTCATTCTTACTTTGCACCGCTGCTTGTATCAATTTGTCTTATTTTAATCATATTTTTCAATAACAGTTGAGACAAAGTTTAAAATATTTTCTTCTTAAATGTATACGGAATACCATAAATCTCTGTCACGCAGAAAATGAGATTGTTCATAGCACCCCCC